AGAACTCATTCTTTGTGCGTTTATGGTGTTAATCAAAAATATACACCGCACATCAATAATAATGAGATAGAATTATTTGATTCCTGACCCTGAAACCACTTGTGAGGGGAGAATGTAATATACTTTCGTATATAACCTATATCAAACAAATAGGGATAACTTTGTTCTCATAAGAAATAGTTTAGCTATTAAGTGGAGGCACTTAATAAATCATTTTGCTAAACCAACTGTGATGTAAACCAACTTATCAAGATAAACTATCTTGAATAGGAAATCTGGAAATTATGCTCGAAATTAAATTATTGAGCAAGTTACCTCGCACACACCGGCCAGGTTGCGGGTTAATAATAATTGCACATGTAACCATCTCATAGATGCATCTTATGTGGTATACATGGCGGGTGAATGGGCCCATATTCACCTTTGATATTTCTAGCATTCATGGGATTCAATCCCAATTTTAATTGGTCTATTAATTAATGAGAACAAACAATGTAAGAGAATTCGTAAAGAACTTTCTAGTTCTTTAATATTTACCCATGCGAATTCTCTTTTATTTTTGCACATCATACTTGAATTAACATGGCTAAACCAATTATGCCAACTGGATAAATTATCAATATTGATAAACTTTAGGTTTACACCATGATGTGTGCAATTATGAATAAACTCCAAGTTTATTATGATATGGGTTTTTATATCAATAAATATCCACATCATTGTGGTATTCTTTTGTTTATGTAGTACAAATTGGAGAATAAAGCGGGTAGCTTTTCACATACATATTACCTCGCTACAAGTTGTAGTAATAGAAGATATTAAATCTTTTCTTTATTTATAGTCTCAATATAATCAACCGCTTTCGTGTATACTTTGGAAACTGAATAAGTTTCTTTGAGACTTACTACAACACAATACCTTATTGGTAATTAATTATGTTTCTCCAAAATAGTATAATTGGCTCTTGCAGAGTTCTCAATTAATTTTGTAGTACCACATATTCATCAACACCCATATGGTGAATATCTCTTTTAAAGAGAAAGTTATACCATTATGGTTATGGTCAAAATTATATGCAAGATCTGTTTCTTGCATCACCGTTGTCTTTTAACAATCACAATACCAAAATATTTTGGCGTACAATAGGTACGTGACCAATGGCCATTCATGCCATAATAATGACATTATTTTTTTATATCATCTCAAACCTCCTTTTAGAGGTGAGTGCGGTATATTCACTACCACTAGCACGTTCATTTTCTTTGAAGAATGAATATGTATTCATAAATCAGATGTTGTCACATTCACATCATGAATGTGCCATAATCATCTATATGTGCTTTATGAAATCTCATATCAAATCGATGACAAATATTTTTCACAGAGTGAAAGATTATTTTGAGAATCCTTATTGTTCTCATTACCACAAATGATGACGATTATAATTTCGTCTATTGCCACGTCCACATCCATTGATACCTTCACGGTAATAATTTTGTCTTCTTTCAGACTTATCACATATTGCTATCACATTCTCTTAAGGGAATGAGAATGGAGCAAATTCAATGGGACGGGTTTTCAATTCTTTGCCCACAATCATACATGAATTTGATCATGGCGAGGCATAGAAATTTTACCACTTCAGGTGGTTATAATTTCTTACAAACTCCATTAGAGTTATAACCAAACTTTGTTGTCTTTGCTTGTATTTAAAATCAAAGTATAGAATAAAAGAGAAAAATACAGTAAAATGCTTACCTTAAATCCAAAATTTAATCATGAAGGAAGTTCATGGAATAATTGACAATCATTATGATCAATCCCAAAGCTTCTACTCAATTGGTTAGAGTCTCGTGCTGATAACGTGTTATAAAATAATAAAAGAAGAAGAAGAGTATTGCAGAGAAAAGTAGAGTGAGAGAATTCTTATTGATATGGGATGAATTACAATGGAATAAAACCCTCTATTTATAGGGAGAGGGTGGCTTAGCCACCAAGCAATGAACCCTAGAATCTCTCTAAATATGGACATTCACCATAAATAGGATTCTATTTATAACACTAGTCATGATTTTCTTAAAATTCATGCTCAATCAAAATACCAGTCTGTAAAATAAAACAAAAGAAGTCGTTTGGTTTGAAGAAAAGTTATGCAAAGATTAGTTATACGGGGAACAATTATGCTAGGATTAGTTATCCGAATATTATTTTTATTGACCGTTTGATATGTTGTATTAATTTTGGGATTGTCAATTTTACTGTTTTATTAAGGGATAACTTATCATGAGATTACTATTTCACCCTCTAGCATATATAAGTTATTCAAGTACAATATTATTTTTTATCTTGGGATAACTTATCACTGGATTAGTAACCAAATAAAAGATAAGGCAGTACTAAAGATTATTTTTTATTTATCCATCGTACCAAACGACCCTAAAGTATTTATTATGTTATTGTGTACATTTTCTTATATTGGACCTATTGTAAGAATAATGAACAATTTGCCCTTACAAACTATAGAGGCAGATATAAATACTACAATAAAATTCAGGGGGCACCCGCAAAAAAAAAAAACCATCCAAAAAAATCATCACACTTTTTAAAACGCATGCCCACAAAAGCACGAAAAGCCAAAACAGTCATTCCATTCCATTTCCGTTCCTCAAAACCCTTTACTAACTTCTTCTCGCCGGACAAAAACCTTTTTTTCTCGCCGGAGATAATCTCCGGCATGGCGTCAAACCAACCGGAGGGCTACGCCGACGATTTCCTCGAGCAAATTCTCGCGATTCCTTCCTACGCTGGCTTGCCGCCGGTAGCTGACGTCGGAACTTCATCAGAAACGACGTCGTTCACTTCGGCATCTGCTGCTGCTGCTGGTCTACAGCAACCGTTGTTCCCGTTGGGACTTAGCTTGGATAACGGCCGTGATGACGTCAGCGATGCTGGTGCTTATGCAGTGAAGCATGTAAGTTTTTTTTTTTTGGCGTTTTGGCATTTTCCAAATTTTAGAATATTTAACTTAATTTTTTTTGGGTTATTTTTTGCAGGAAAGAGAAGGAATAAATATCGGGAATTTATATGCTGGTCTAGAACATTTGCAATCTCATGCAGTTCGTCACGCTGTGCCTCCTGTTCACCATATCCAGGTTACTTGTGTGTGTGTATTTCTTTTATTAAAGCTAAAAAAATTGCCTGTCTGCAAATTGTTCGCATTGGTAGCCGAAAAGATTAGGAAGCTACATATAAGGTGTACTCTTAATCGTGTAAGACTTTTTGGGAAAAATTGTGCTATTTTGCCATCAATATCACACCGTGTTAAGAGTATCTGTGGCCCTCAATTTTGTCTCTAGAATTGCTCATTATTACTCTCTAATACGGAAAATGTTTCGATATAATAGATGGAAATGTAAAATTTAAGCTCATTTCATGTGTTGATTCATTTTTTTGAGATTATGATAGGTTTTGAGGTTTTGGTATGTTATGTGTACTATGATTTTATAGTGACTTGGAGGGGGTCCCTATGAAGAGTTGATATTGATTCTGGTGAAAATGGAGGATTCAGTGTGTTTTGAAGAATGTTAAAATTGGAAAAAAATTTAAGTCGCATGGTTACTAAATATTGTCTTTAAAAAGCGCTTGTTATAAATATGGCTTGTTATTTGTCCAGCATCTTCGATCCATAGTTTTGTTTCCTTGTTGACTTTGTGCATATTGCAATCTCCAGTAACAGTTAAGGATTTTGGTTTCTGATGTTTTATGAGAAATAACTTTGTCCTCGAGCCCTTCGTAGACTATGCTTAAATGATTGAAGTTTCATAAGCTGAAATCTAAATGCATGTCCAAATTTGTAGCCAGTCAGTTGTCTGAAGCACTAAGTCCATAATCTTTATTTAGACAATGTTAATACTCCTTGACTATGAGTAAAGCCTATTGGCGTTAACAATAACTGTTTTCTAGCTGAAGCATATCATTTGATTATAAGACAGTAAAACACTGTTGAAGGATGGAATTGCATGCAGTATTCCGTTTAATTTCTCTTTACTTTGAAGTCTAATTAGTTGCATGACTCAGACGTGGTAACTTTGATTTGAATTATGTTTCTTTAAGAAGAACACGGTCTCTTGTCAATGAGGGGTGTGACGTTTACTGCATTTATTGAGCTAATAATTTCTCTTGGTTTCTTTCAGCCTTTCCAAGGCCAACCAACAACAAGCACAACAGTAACTGTACCGCACCCACCAGCAATTCGTCCTAGGGTTCGAGCTCGGAGGGGACAAGCCACAGATCCACATAGCATAGCTGAGAGGGTAATAAGATTGATATACCATGTTATGTAGATAAGCTTTATAAGGACAAGCGTGAATCGCGTAGTATGATACAAGGTGTTATTAGAGTTCTCTAGAAACAAGTGCTGAGTAATGATTTGTATCCCTTGCAGTTGAGACGAGAGAGGATATCAGAAAGAATAAAGGCTTTGCAAGAACTTGTCCCCAGCTGCAATAAGGTGTGTCTCACTCTCTTAGTGGCAACAAGTTCTTATTTTAGTGGCGAGTATGTTTCTTTACTCATGGCATTGTCATACTGAGGCTCATTAAAACACGAAGTCTTATGTTTACAGATAACGTCAATTTTACTTTCTGGTGCACATCATGACCATAAAATACCAGTGCTTGAAAGAAAAAGCAGGAAAAAGATGATTCACATCTTGTAACTTATCAAAAAAGGATCATTCAAATTTTGTAGGCAAATTTTTACTTGCAGTAGAGTGCTGTCTGATGGTTCAATTTACTATTCTCCATTAGTTAGACTTGTGGGATTCAGTTAATTGCTAATTTTCACTTTGAATGGGACTTTCGGAATTGGACTTCATCTTTGTTTTTTCAGCATCTAATATGAACAGTCCCCTCCATGAAGAATGAAATTAGGAAGATGTGGCTGCTTTAGGTATTGAGATTTTATTTCTTTTCTCTCTTACCAGACCGATAGGGCCGCAATGCTTGATGAGATTCTGGACTATGTGAAGTTCTTAAGGCTTCAAGTTAAGGTAACGTGCAATAACATTCATCTTAATTGCTTATTTAGTCAATCACTCTTCCTACCATGTTCCGGAGCAAATTAAGTTCTTGGCTTCTGATTTCTCTACAACGAAAGAGTTGTTTACAAAGTATCAAATTGTTGGAGCCATTATAATTTATAGAAGTTCACAATCTGTGTGCGACTACTCGTGTGGTCTTATCCATTCCATTTAAGTATCTTGAGTTTATGTTGATCAGCTTGTTCTTCTGAGATAGCTTATTCAACTCGATCATCATGTTCTGCTAGAAACCTTCTTTCTGAGGGGTTTAGTGGTTTGAAATCATTTGATTTCTGATTTCTCTAAAGGTGATTGTTTCAACATCATCTGATCGTCTCTAGGCAATGGTTGCGGTACCTTGCGCCATTTTTGAGCTTGATTTCAATAGGAAATATCGAGAGATAATACCCTTGTTTAAAAGAATTTTCTTCGAGAGATAATACAGGTTAACAATTTTGTGTGTGTACTAATTTCAGTTTGCAAATAAGCAATTATCACCTTTTTTTATTTATTTTAAATTTCTGTATCACCTGGATAACTTGAAAGTAATTCTTATCCTGGCTTGTTCTACCACCTACTCGCTTACTATTTTGGGTTTGACATCTTTCTGCTAATTATATATTTTAGACAAGCTTTTCAAATCATTTTAACTGATCAGATTTTAACTTTGAGGTAATGTTTTTTCAATTGAACTAACTTTTCAACTATTCTTTTAATAGGCTCTATTACTAGTATACTATGTTAGCCAAACTAAACTATTTGGTTCTGTTTTAAATAGTTCCATAAAATGGGGAGGAAGGGAATGTCAGATGTGTACAAGAAAATAGCAGAAGGAGGAATCTCGTACAACAGTTGAAAGTCTTCATTTTTACTATATATAAACAACCTCACGAGCGATGGTTGCTGCTTCAGTGAGAAACTTATATCTCGTCTGACTGTGACCCTGCATAACAGAGTCCCAAGTGATTGCTTTACTTCAACAACCTAGTAGCCTTTAGTGTCATGTTCTGGTACGTCATTTGCTGTATCATATGGAAATTTTAGGCTATAATGGAGGACGTAGGGTTTTGATGCATGCCATAGCCTCCTTATTGGTTCTATAGTTTCCCACTTTCTGTTCTTTGTCAGTTCAACGTATTTGGGATTTCTTGGCCATCATAGTCTCGTACTGGTTTTTGATTGCCAGTTTTCATTATTGTATCTGTCCTGTAAATGATGTGCATTAAAATTGCCTAAAGGTACTGAGCATGAGTAGGCTGGGAGGAGCCAGTGCAGTGGCACAACTTGTTGCTGACATTCCGTTGCAATCTGTGGAGGTAATGAATCCTGCTTCTACTGAGACCCTAAAAACAGGGTTAGCTCGAACTCAAGATTTGCTTCATTTGCTTCAAAATCCTTTTGTTTTCTTATATTTTAGGGGGACAGTGCTGAAAGTAGATCCAACCAGCATATCTGGGAGAAGTGGTCCAATGTCGACACAGAACAAGAGGTCGCTAAGCTCATGGAGGAAGATGTTGGAGCAGCCATGCAATACCTTCAGTCCAAATCCCTCTGCATCATGCCCATATCACTTGCTGCACTTATCTATCCTAGTCAGCAACCGGATGACCCGTCAATGGTCAAGCCGGAACCGGCAGCCCCGTCATAGACCTCCAATTTGTTGCACGTGCCTTTGAGAACTCCTAATAGCCTTGTGTTCCACCCTCCTTTGTATCCTTACCTACTATCACTTGTATTTTCCTGTGCAATTGGTGGCAATGCAATCATTGTCAGATGCCCCAATTTTTGCTTTTAGCACAACCATTGGCCCCTTTTATTACCTTTCGGGAGTTTTCGTCAAACAAGGCATGATGTCATACCTTGGACAAAGGTAAACGTCTGAAAAGCACCCAATCCATTATCATCATTTTGGATGAGGTGAGCAGCTTTTTCAAAGTTATCTATGATTCTGCCATTTTGTTTGTGGGATAGTGGGGACTCCTTTATCTTTTGCATAGTGGATTGGTGGGGCGATGTAAAAGTAATCAAAAACTGGTTTTTGTAAAGTGTAATGTAATTTAAGTATATTATTGCAATGGATAGTTGAAGTGGCTCTCCCCCCAAAAAGTTGTTCTGAAAATATGATTTGTGAAAAAATAACTGGGTTTTAGTTTGCAGTAAGAAGTCTTTCTTAGTATATTATGAACTTCAAATTCCTCCAGTTAGTTTCTTTCTCCTTCATATAGTAGTATTAAACAAGGAGGATGACAAGCTTGTTCGCTCAAAGTTCCTTTCAGTTGATACTATCAAAAAAAAGTTTGAGACTTTCAATTTCCCATACCAAACCAGTGAGATTGTTTAAAATTCTTCAAGTTGTCTGTAATTAACCTTTGCTTGATCCTAGTATGAGAATGTTTTTTATATTTTTCTTGACTGGACCAGAAATATAAAATTTTCTAGAGAAATAAAAATGTATGACTGACTGAATCTACGAGACGTTTCTCAAAAGTCAAATTGTATTCTGGGCTACTCTAGCAAGAATATTTATGTCTTCATAAAGCACTATCTTTTAGTAGTAATTAGCCATCTATAGATATTATTTGCTATATTATGGATTATAAATACTTTTTATGTGGTTATAAGATGTATTTAAGCTATTGTATTCATGAATACAGTAGCAAAAATAGGCGTGAATTAGGGAAGTTCAGCTAATCAGTTGTTGTATTCGAGTGTATTCGACTGTATTCATGGAGTGAAACATGGGATTACAGTTGGATCGATTATTGTATTCAACTGTATTCACGGTGTGAAATAGGGGATTACACTGTTTTTAAAACGGAAAGTGAATCAATTAATATAATAGACTCCTAATATAACTCAACAAATTCAATTATAACACACAAATTTTGTATTTTCAGTTACAAAAAAGATTCTCAACCGAAAAATACCCCAAAAACATAGCAATCTTCAGAGAAATTATATAATACATTTGAATACATAAATTGTATTAATTAAAAAATCATGGCATCTAGCGAGACAGTAAATACAATGAATTACATAGAATACAACGGGATACATTGAAATACAATGAGAAAAAAAGACAGCGAATACGATGAAATTCATGGAATACAACGAGATACATTGAATTACAATGAAAAAAAAGACAATGAATACAATGAAATACATTGAAATATATTAACAGAAAATCATCCTACAACATCCATATTTCCAGGCTCACCATCTCTGGAGACACCTTTGTCTCCACTAACAAACCGAAGTTGGCAGAGACAAATATACTTGAGCAACTCCGAAACTCAAACATAGAGATTTAACCCTTCTAACAGATTTGGGATTCCAAGAACAAAGCCACATCTGATCTAGGAAGGCCATAAAATAAAGTTCAAAGAGCATTTTGCCAAAATGCTTATCGCATTATGTTCCCAAAAAATAATTAAGTGTGCAGTAATCTACCGGCGGCTGCTGTTGTTGGTGAGAAACCAACCGGATTAAATGTTCCATAGATTTTAAACCGGCTGAAGCAGAGAGTGAACCTGCTCTGAAGTGGGCTTTGCACAAATCGGTGGAAGGAGGAGGAGATCGAAAATTTTAATGGGATGGGGGAAGAGAATGGGATGTATCAAAGTAGAGAGAGAAAGAAAATAGTGTAACTGATTAGCGTATTTAGTGGCTTAGGGCTAGGAGGTAACCAAAATTAAATATTTTGCTATAAACCTTAAAAGATATCTATAGATATAATTTTTTTAAATGGTATTTATTTAAAATAAATAAGGTGTTAACCTTTGCTATAGGAGATAAAAATTCCTATTTATGTCCTGTGCTAAGAATATTCTGGGCTATCAGTCACACTAATGTCTTCATCTAAGTTATTTCAGCCTCATTTGTTGTTGCATTCATGGTCCCTCCTTTGAAAAGGGACAAACTAAGCTCTTAACATAGATTACTGCCTCTAGATATTTGATCGAGTCATCCTTTGGACTTTACTTCGTAAAACGCGGTCCAAACTTAAGCAAAAATTCACCTTCATTTGACGTTAAAATAGGTGGACAAAATATCTTTCCCATGGAATCAACAGGAGACTTGACGGTAAACATCTTTGTCCAAATGGGTCTTAATAAATTCAGGGCTATAGATTAAAGAAAGCCAAGATTTTGAAACACACCTGAATTGAAACAGGGATTTAACTGGAAGCTTTAACAAGATTTCAGTGATGAGTTTTGCAGGAAGTGTAGGCATTGACAAGATTGAATCTTGGCTTGAATGAGCATATACTATCAGAAATTTGAGAAAGAAACCACAATAAGAGTAATTTCGCTAGAAAATACATAAAATTAATGTACGGAGGACTAGTCATAAACTCATATAATGTATTGTACATTTTTAATTTGCACATCATTTATATCCCTACACATAGCCCTGCACATAGCGGGAGCTTAGTACACCGGACTGTCACCTCGGAAGCCCTGGCTCATTCAAATCAAAATAGAACGAGTACCTACGACTAAGGGCCCTTTCCAATGTACACAAATTGAAGAAAAAAAGAAAGAATATCTTTCTTTAGGAATCTTAATTCGGAGAATTCCCTACAACACTAACAGAGAACTCTCAAAATGCTTACAAATCTTGTCTTTTCTTTTCTTTATTTTTATCGTGTTAGCTAGTCACAAAGGCTCAAAAACATAGGATCACCACTTGAATAAATGGTCCCACACCCAATCTTGCATAGATTTAAAAAAGGGCAGCCAGCCGAAGCATGACGTAGGCAACCTACCTTCATGCAAACATCAATTCCACAGCTCGAATCTGTAACCTATAGGTCACACAGAGACAACTTTACCGTTGCTCCAAAAGGGAGAGTAAAAACTACGGGTTCAGTCGAAACCAATAGATTTGCCCAAACTCTGTATTTGTCTTAAGAAATTCATTGAATATGCATAAATTATTAATTTAAAACTCAGTATCAAGAATTTAGAATCCCGAACCCATAAGTTTCAAATTGCGGCTCCGCCTCTTGCTCCAAATTTCCTTGGAGGGACTTCTTTATTTTTTTCTTTTCTTTGGAACATTTAATGATTCTTAGTTAAAGTAGGGCCTTTATTCCTTTTCCTGAGCCGAGGGTCGATTGGAAACAGCTTCTCTGCCCTTTCGGGTAGGGGTAAGGCCTGTGTACGTATTACCCTCCCCGGATCCCACCTTGTGGGACTATACTGGGTAGTTGTTGTTGTTGTTGTTTAAAGTAGGGCCTTTAGTATCTTAGCTTATGAGTTTTTATTAAGAAAATGATGTATTGTGGTTGATCACGCCCAACTATGCCTTATAAAAAGGACAATGCGGTCGTTGCAAATATAATCCAGTTTACAAGTCCGGAGTCGAATCCCACAGAGAACTAAGGTTTAGCTACAGCTGTTCACTATCACCAAGAAGACAAGCTTGAACAATTCCTAACTTATAGATATTAAGATTTTTCTGTTTAACTAATTAACTAACAAATTAAAATAGTAAATTAACAACTAACGATATTGAGGGTTAGAGAAAAGATTAAGGAGGTCTAGAGTTATGATTTCCCCTATTGTCGGAATCCTTCCCGCTATGTCTTCTATAATTTCGCCTAAGTATTCTCTACCGATCATGAGCACTCTTATTACCGTAAATCTCTCCCGAGTAATTACGACAATTTACTAGACGCACTCTCCCAAGCTACGCTAGCTGGCTTTTAATACAACACTTCAGATCGCACCCAAGGCTTCGTTATCCCTAATCCCGCCTTTAAACCCTCGGTTATTGATCCCTCATATACTCTGGGAGTGGTGTTGTTCAACAATTACCTAAATATGCACTCTCTCCCGAGTTATGCATACTAAATAGGCACAGCTAATTGAGAGCTCTTCAATCAACCACAATATAAACGTAGTTGAACAAATAGAGAAAAGGCTATGGCTCAATTATATAAAAACATAACAAGAATTTATCCTACAAAAGGTTCTATCAAAACTCTAGATAACAAATTAGCTATTCATAATAGTATGTCAAACTACAATACTAAAAGTCATAACCAACAATGAAAAATAGGAAGAGGAAGGAAAAAACTCGTAGAAGAATTCCCCGCCTTGCTCCCAATGTGTTCTTGCCTCCAAGGGTGTTGTCTAACCCTAAAGTAGTGTCTCTCCGCCTCCTTAGGTCTAATTTGTGTCCAAAATATGTCCCCCCTCTTCTTCAAAATAGGTTTAGGACCCCTTTTATACAAGTTGGAATAGTGTAGGGCCGAAATAAACTTGTCCCGGGCGAAATAGGACTTCTTTTTGACGCCTGGAGGGGCGCGGCCGCGGTCAAAACGCGGTAGGACCGCGGCCAGACAAGCTCTCTGATTTCTGCCGCGGTCGCGGTTTCGACCGCATTTTTCACCCTGTTCTGTTTGGAATTAGGAAAAACGTAAAACATGAAAGTTGTAGCCCTTTGAATTATCTTTCCAACCATATATTGTGGAGCCCAAATGGAGTTCTGAGAAAAAAGTTATGTCTATTTTACTAGACAGTGCGCAATATGCCTCCTCAAGTCTTCGTTCGTACTTAATTATCAAATTTGACCCCCGAACACGATCCCGGCATAATTCCTTGATCTTTTACTCAGACTTCAAAGCTTCAAATCACTTATATTCCTTCCATAACATCTATATAGCTCGAAATCACACCTACAAGGCATAAAACACACAATTAGTGCAAAACACTAGCGATTAAAGCGCAAACTCAATTAAAGTGCAGTAAATTCGAGTGCAATAAGCGACTAAAATATGCAATTATAGCCTATCATCAGTAGTTGTAGCACTTCATTGAGTGATTGGGCCATACTACATAAGATGATGGCTTTCTTATTAACTACCCAAAATATTCTATTGACAAGTGTTTGGAAATCGGAGACACATTTCGTTGATCAAATTTTCTAACTTTACACAGATGATCAGTTTTATATTTGATTTATCCAATGATTCAGCAAGCATGTGAACCATTTTAGCTTGGATAATTTAAAGGGGTATTATCACTTTAGCCTGCGCCAGAAACCATTTATATTTGGTAGACGAAAAAATATATAAATTATGTTTATAACATACAGAATGTATATATACACAAAAAACATACTACATTTTTTCGACTACTTTGCCTAA